TTCTTTATGCTTGTGGATTTCTTACAATTGTGGTAAATTTCCTTCCTTGAATTTGGACCTGCCATCTCCCTATTTTTTTTCCGGAACTTGATTTCACCATGAGGATTTGAATAATTTTGTTGAATATTTTACTTTTTAATTGCTTGTATCTTTTTTAATGCTGCTTGAGGATTCTGGTAATACTTTTGAGCAAATTATATATTTTTTCGCCCAATATTCTTTAGTCTGCTAAATATCCCGAATCCGCTTTTCGCGAGATTCCAGCTCTTATCGGCCGTCGACTCTCGCACCCTGTCATTCAAGAGTATCGGCGTCGCTATCCTTATCACAAAATCTCAAGTGTAGACGCCACCGGACAACTTGTTTTTCACCTCAAGTTGGTTGCTTTTTGCCTTGTTTTTTATTTATAAAATATGCTAACCTAACTTCATTTTTGTAATTGGCTAGAGGCCAAAATTGGATTGCTATTTTACTTGGAAATCGTTCAAAACTTGATTGAATCATCGTCATATCGCGTCTAGCCTCTTTCTATTTTATATCCATTATTAGTATTGTTTATGATTTTAAAAGGCGCTTGCTTCTTGGATATTCGAAGAATTTGATTCGAACTCTAGATCTTACTATAGCTGCGTGTCAAGGTCGCGCTATAACTGTTGCTCTATGTGCTTCATTTCAAGAACATGATGTCGTTTCTTATGTTCACCAATAAGAGGAAAGTAGTCTAGTTTTACACTATTGTGCATTCCCCTTAATTAAATTGTTTTCTGGTGTTCACGATCTGGTTTTTACTCATGAGACCCGGACTAAGTCAAAATTTCAGTCCACCTTGGATAAGAAATGTTTCTTGTTTAGGGCGCTAAGTGAAATTCACTGATGTTTTGAAGTATATACATTTGATTATGGTAAGCTCGACTATCACTACTGGAAACAGTCTCAGGTGACCCAATTTATTGCAAATATTAGGGTCTAAATAATTTATATGGATTTAATTCATATTCCAGCGATAATCCTTTGTGTTGAAATATTCTGGAATATTGTTATAGCATCCGGAACGACAAATC